TCTCTCTCTATCATCTAATCTATCCTCTCTCTATCCATCTATCCATCATCTATCTATCTATCTATCTATCTATCTATCTATCTATCTATCTCTATCTATGTATCTCTCTATCCATCCATCCATCCATCATCTATATCATCTATCTATCTATCTATCTATCTATCTATCTATCTATCTATCTATCTATCTATCATCTATCTATCTATCTATCTATCTATCTATCTATCTATCATCTATCTAATCTATCCTATCTATCTATCTATCTATCTGTCTATCATCTATCTAATCTATCCTATCTCTCTCTCTATCATCTATCTAATCTATCCTCTCTCTCTCCATCCATCCATCCATCATCTATATCTATCTATCATCTATCTATATCTATCTATCTATCTATCTATCTATCTATCTATCATCTATGTATCTCTCCATCCATCCATCATCTCTCTCTCTCTCTCTCTCTCTCTCTCTGTCTCTCTCTCTCTCTGTCTCTCTCTATCATCTAAGTATCTCTCCATCCATCCATCATCTATATCTATCATCTCTCTCTCTCTTTATCTATCTATCTATCTATCTATCTATCTATCTATCTATCTATCTATCTATTTATCTATCTATTTTTTTAAAAAAATAATATCATTGGTTTGCAGTTAGTTAATTGCTTTTGAAATTATCGTGAATTGATGCAGCATATAATATGCTTTTAAGCGGCAGCAAGGGAAGTTTCCTTGCCATCTTTCGTGGTGGGGTGGATGTAGCTTATCTGTTCAAATTCTCCCAAAGGATCCTGAAGTGCGCACACAGTTTCCATGCAAGTAAAGGACCCCCCCCCTCACCCCACCCCCACCCTGCCCCCTTGCCTTTAGCTCTGGGGACTGACTTCTGAGTGCTGGGTGAAACTTCAGCCAACGGTTGGCCAAGTTTTTCTTGTGAAAATTCACACATCTATCACACATCTGCACAGTGAGGTTTTGGACGTATCGCTCCCTGACTCGTGACTGTTCTTACTTAGCAACCCACGATCCCAAACCCCATCAGTGCCACCTGCTTACCCCCCCCCACCCCCCAAAATCTGGGTCTTCTCCTCATCCTGTCTTCCGCTGCTCCTTGTTCCAGTCGGAAGAGAAAAAGAAGCTCCAGTTCAGGACCCTGTTCCCAATTTCTCGTGCCCCCCCCCAGTCAAAAGACGTTTTGCTCCATTTTGCCTCTGCTTTTCCTTCCATATATAGTGTGCTGCTCTCAGCTATTTTTAGCCCCCTTTGGGTGGCTAGTTGGTGTGAGTGTGTTGTGTTCCTCCCCCCACCCCACCCCCTCTTCCCCCCACCCCCACCCTTTTGCTAACTCTGTGGATCTTTTGTGATATGCTCCAAGCCAGGGTCCTCCCTCCTCTCACAGGGACGCATATTTCTGCTTTGGCAATGCCCACAAATGGACAGGTGGCAGAGACGAAGGGAGGAGGGGTGGGAGGGGGTCTCTTTCAAAGCTTGCGTCCCAAAAACAGAGCCTTGTCGAAGCAACGACGGCGGCGGCGACACTGCGGGAGGATTTAGCCAAGAGTCCAGAAGTCCAGAGTGGTCCCCCAAAAGTTTGCGTTAGAGCATTAATCCTCGCTCTGCCAAGACCCCAACTTCTGGGGCTCTCCCCCTGTGCATAACACTCAGGGGATCCCTGGCTTCTCCAGAGCAAAGCCCTGGGAGTGCACAGTGAGATGGGGGGTGGTGAAGATGGCTGGGACCCCTCCCCATAATCCCCCCAATCCAGAATCATTTCGTTTCCCCTTAGCCTTTTGCCTCCTCCCTCCCTTGAATTGGAGCCTGGCACGGGTGCCGTGCCCTGGGGAGCAGGGGATGAGTCACTGGGGTGAAAAGGGACACGCGCCTGCTTTCAAGTCAAAGGAAGACATGAGAAACAGGAGCAGCGGGGAGGGTGGATTTAGCAAGAATGGGGAAACCTTAGTTGTGGGATTAGGGACGACGATTGTTGGAGCGCTCTCTCGTGCGCACTGCACGCTCTCTCTCTCTCTTTCTCGAGTTACGCTGGGGAAGGGCAGCCGAGCTGCCGCAAGCAAGCTTTGAGGTTGGAAGAGCCCCTTTGATGTGGTGGCTGAGACAACACAACAGGCAGTGTGGAAGTGGTGCACAGAGGCAAGGGGAGGATGTGGCACAGGCAGTCACACAGGTCCTAGAAAGACAGAGGTGGAGTCAAGGGCCGTGCTTGAACAAGTTTGTGTAATCAGGAGAGGTGGGAGTCTCTCTCCCTTCCTCCCTCTCTCTCCCTCCCTCTTTCTTTCTCTCCCTCCCTCCCTCTCTCTCTCCCTTCCTCTCTCCCTCTCTCTCTCTCTCTCCCTTCCTCCCTCTCTCCCTCCCTTCCTCTCTTCCTCTCTCTCTCTCTCTCTCTCTCTTTCTTTCTCTCTCTCTCTCTCCCCCCATTTCCCAGCTCTTTATTCTCTTTTTCTTGCCTTTTGGCATCAAAGGCTTCCCATTTTTTAGCTGCCCCAGACCTACACACCTCTTAACAAGGGATTTTAGGTTTTTTTTCTTTTCCTGAAGCTCCAGTGGGACATGCAAGACATCAGCTGCAATATGCTTTGGCAGCAGTGCTACCCTTGATCTTAGCCCAAAGGCTGAGCAGCTTTCAAGCTGAAGTCTTTCTCCCCAGCGAAATGTAGAGATCGCGGGCGTTGAACCAGCTCCTTTTGCTTGCCTGGTGATTTTAAAACCGAACCCGAGTCCTTTCTGTCGCTCTTTGGGAACCGTTGTCATCTTCTGAGCCAGACAGATTGGAGATGGTTGCTGAAGTCTGCCCCATCCAGGACTTCGGAAGCAAAGCTGGTGCTGGCACGTGAGAATATTCTCTTTCTTTGCACCAATAAAAGCCAGTCCTTCCCAGTGACCAGCAGCACTGCCTGCTGGGACCGCTTGCGGTCCAGAAGGCAGGATAAACGATCTTCCTCCTCCTTCCTCATCTCTCCTCCGATTTCCTCGGAGCAGTTGTGTCTGCTCTGGAGCGTCTCCTGTTTGCGCTCTTAAAACTTACAAAAGGTTTACATTGGAACTGTGCATGTTTTCATAATCTGGCAATGTTTGTGATCTTAGGGCCATCAGCCACTCAAGAGTGCAGCACATAAATTGGGTGGCATAAATAAACAGAGAAGAGACAGCTGAAGAAGCCACTTCATCCTAGGAAGCTGCAGACTACAGCCGGCCTCCTCAAACACAGCGGGGGCCCTTTCTAATTGTAGTTGGACTTTGACGTCCATAATTCTCAGCCAGCCTGACCTTTAATTGACTGGGACTCGCTGAGGCTCAGGGCCCTGCAGAAAGCCACTTTGGAAAGGAAGCCTGGATGATCTTCTTTGTCCTCCAGACTTCAGACAGCTTTCCCCAACAGCTAGAAACGCTTTTTTCCTTTTTTCGTGGTGCTTTGGCTTCAGCGACCCGATAACATCACAGGATAAGGCCTATAGTCAAATGGGCTCTGTAGGAGGAGAACAAAGGCCTAGCTGGTTCGCGGCGTGCCTCCTGTAAGTGCTCAGCTGCCTCTTCTCCAACCGCCCACAAGCTGGATGTAATTGAGACGGTCCCTCGGTGTCATTTGACTGCTCCCCAGAGTCTGGCAATAAGAGGAATATTGCCTCTTGAATAGGGAGAGTCAGTCCATCAGTTGCTTGGCTGATTATCGGAGCGTCCCTTTTATCTTGGGAATGGTGCATTTCGAAGTATCTGTGAGACCAACGGTAGCGTTGCAGGTAGAGAGGGAGATGGCGTCGGGAGAGTTGGCACTCAAGTTGTCTTCCCTTACTTGTTCCTTCAAGGGCAGAATGGGAATAAGCAGAACCCGGCGCTGGGGCCTTCCCGTCGCGTCCATATTAGCCTGTCTGCCAGCCTTTCGGGAGCTGGTTGTGACAACCAACCTGTGGGTAGTGTTGACCAAGTGAAGGATCTCTAATGTTGGGAAAGTGTTGATGATAAAGTCAATTAAGTCTTGACCACCTCTATCGGGATCTTAGTGGACAGTATCTGGGAACGGAGAAGACGTCCTGAGTTGGTTGGCCGCAAAGGAAGATGAGAATGTTGTCATCCTTTGTTTTGATACATCACAACTTGTTTAAAGCCGCAAAGAGCATTGCTGGAGGAGAGCAACGGAGCCTCCGGGTCAGACACCCCTTCTTCCCACCGGTTAGATGCCGCTGGGAATTTCACTAAAAAGGTTGGGGTTTGGTTTTTTTTTTTAGGAAAAACTCATTGCTCTTTCCAAGCTGACACTCGGTTGTTGTCATCTAAGTTCCACTTAGACAACTTTGTTAATAACCATGGATAGACATACCCAGATTCAGAATGCATCCGGGACAACTAATTAAACTCAATTGGGAATGGGCTGAAGAATACGTGTTTGTATACACGCTTTTTCACATGCACTCGTTCACGCTGTCAATCAGAATGTCTTTCGAGCTACTTTGTCCACAACTTTTATAAGGTTTAATTTTTTTTTTCCCCTGTGGTTCCTTTTGCCCTCCTTCACCTCCGCCTTTGCTTTCATCCCCACCTCGCTGCTTTTTTGGGAGGGGAGGGAGTCTCGTCGCTGCCAGCTCCCCCACAAGCTTCTGGTGCCTTTGGCATATTGGTAGCCGACCTCACTTCCAGGAAAATTACTTTTTCTTCATATTAGGCCAAAGCGGGAGCGTGGAGACATTTATGAAACTTTGTTTAATGTACTGAAAAGCCATCGGCTAGAACATTTAGGAAATTGATTTTCCTGGCATTGATGAACTCTTTTTATTTTACCCCAGTATTAATTACTTTTTCTTTAAAAAAAAAAACAAATTAATTTAAGTGTCGTAAAACCGTACAAAGTGAGCCAAACGTCAGCCGGTCGTGTTTGCTCCTTCTCTCCCATCCTCGCCTGGCTGCGGCTGGCAACGCGGAAGGGAAGGAAGGAAGGAAGGAATAATATACCCCTTTGGGTGACACATTTTCTCTCTTTTCTGTCACTTCCTTCAGGGGAGGCGTCATCGCTGCGAGACTACGCCGCTACTACCATGAGCGAGTTCCTCGGCATGTTTGGCTACGATGACCAGAATATGCGGGATGAGCTGGCTCGGAAGATCAGCTTTGAGAAGCTGAATGCTCCTACCTCAGAGACCACCAGCCCAGCCACGGTTGCCCCCTCCCTTGCCGGCGAGGATGCCATGAGCAAGAGGGCTCGCTTTTCCAAATACGAGGAATACATACGCAAGTTGAAGGCTGGCGAGCAGGTCCCGTGGCCAGTTCATCCAGTTAAGACGGAGGAGCTGACCAGCAAGCTCAGCAAAGAGGCCCCCATGGCCTTGGGCCAAGCCCTCCGGTTGCCGGCCCCCGAAACGTCGCTCCTGCCGGAGACGAAAGCCACCATTTTGCCTCTGCCTTCGTCCAGCAGCTCCCAGATGCAAGGGCTGATGTCGCGGGCCTCCAAGTACGATTTCTTCATCCAGAAACTGAAGACAGGGGAGAATCTCCGGCCACAGAACGGGAACACCTACAAGAAGACGTCCAAGTATGACTTGGAGAACGTCAAATATTTGCATCTCTTCAAGCCCGGGGAAGGCAGCCCAGACATGGGAGGAGCCATCGCCTTCAAGACGGGCAAAGTCGGTCGTCCATCCAAGTACGATGTCAGGAACATCCCGAAGATTACCCCGGTCAAAGCACCAGCTCCTAGCCTGGGCCCCAACCCTATGGCCAGCACTCCCAGCAGCACCCCAGTAGCTGGCCCGGAGCAACCCGCCTCTCTGCCCTTCAGCACTCCAGAATACCTTAAATCCACTTTCTCCAAGACGGATTCCATCACTACCGGGACAGTTTCCACTGTTAAGTAAGTCGATCCCCGTTCGCGGCTGCGGTCCCCAACCTTTCCACCCTAGCGGCCCGGCCCAGCGCGAGGGGGTGCGCATGTGAGTGGCAGGCGGGTATACACCACTCACCCAATTGGAGCTTTTGAGCGTGAGCAGAGGGTGCTTGCACTTGTGCGCAAAACTCCACGTGCGCGAGTGGCGGGCACTTGCACCTGCGCAGGAAGCTCGGAGAGCGCTGGCAAAGTTCCACTCGGGAGAGCAGAGGGTGCTTGTGCTTGCGCACAGAGTTCCACTCAACGCAAACGGAGGGTGCTCGCCCGCGGAGCTCCGTCGGCGTGAATGGAGCTTCGCGCATGAGCACCCTGCGCTTGTGCGAGCGGAGCTTCGCGGGCGTGCACTTGCCCAGCACTCGTGCGGCCCGGTTTCAAACAGGTTGCGGCCCTGTAGTGGGCTATGGCCCAGGGCTTGGGGACCCCTGGTTTAAGGGACACGGAGAAGAGCAAAGCCTTCTCCAGCGTGGCCTTCTCCATCGGTGCAGGGCTGAGAAAAACCAGGTTGGCTGAAACCATTGCAGTCCTGCACATCTGCTGGGATGGAGACCCTGCAGACGTGCTCCAGGAAAGCCTCCCGTGTCCTCCTTTGGTTCTCAAGGGTGACAGGGAAGATGGTAGTAGAAGATGTTGAAAGATAGATTAAAGAACTTCACGGATGAGAAAGCTCAGGTGACTAGGTAATAGCTCTGGGATCAAATACGATGTGACACGAGACATAATACAGGTAACCCTTGACTTATCGCACTTCGTTTAGTGGCTGTTCAAAAACTACAACAGCCTTGAAAAAAAGTGATTTGTGATCTTTTTCCCCACTTACAACCGTGGTCACGTGATCAGAATTCAGACGCTCGGCAACCGACTCGTATTTATGACCGTTGCCGTGTCCCTGTGGGTCACGCCATCCCATTTGCGACCTTCCGGCGAGCAAAGTCAACGGGGAAGGCTGGTCCCCTTAACAGCCAGGCTACTAACTTACCTGCTGCAGGGTTTTGCTTAACAACAGTGGCAAGAAAGGTCGTAAGAGTGGGACAAAACTCACTTCGCCCCCGTCTCGCTTAGCCGCAGAAATTTTGGGCCCAGCCGTGGTCCCAAGCCGAGGATTTACCTGTATTAGTCGCAGAGGGATAAAAACAGGCCGAGAGGACTCTTTCGCCGAGTTTGATTTGGCTACAATGAGTAGTAAAATGTGAGCCTTTGGGCCGGATCCAGCCTGGCTCCTCTAAGGATCTTGGGTGGCCTGAGGTAAATCAGCGAGGGTTTCTTTTGGGGGGATCCTCCCAGAAATTGGAGTTGCGGGAATGGAGGTCCTGCCATGGAAAGACCACTGGAGGGAACTTTTGAGCTTGGTCCTGGTTCTAGTTTCAACTCTTTGGGCTTAGTAGTTAATAATGGGTGGTCCTCAATTTACAACGGTTCATTTAGTGACCGTTCGACATTACGACGGCACCGAAAAGAAGTGACGTGGGAGCGTTTTTCACAGCTAACGACCTTGGCAACCGCCCCAGGATCAGGCGATCGAAATTCAGACGCTCCTCGTATTTATGACCGTTTCTGTGTCCCGAGATCACGTGAGCCCTCTTTTGCGACAAAGGCAATGGGGAAGCCAGACCCACTTAACAACCGGGTTACTAACTTATCCCCTGCAGTGATTCGCTGAACAGCGGGGGCAAGGAAGGTCGTAAAATGGGGCGACGCAAAACTCACTTAACAAACGTCTCACTTTAAACCACAGAGATTTGGGGGCTAGATTGTCGCTCTACGTTGAGGACTATCTGTACTCAGAAAGCCCCCTGCTCTTTCATTCTCAGGGATCGATGCCCCCGTTTTTGCTCGGGATGCAAGTGGCTGGATCATGGTTTCCAGGGCTTGCGCAAAGAAATCCCAGGGAGTCCAAAGTCTGCTCGTCCTTAATGATAGCAACTGTTCTGTCGCTTGATTTATTTTGCTTCTCTGATCATTCCATGCTTTGGGGAGGGAGGGAGGGAGGGAGGGGTGGGGAGTGGGAAAGAGCTGGCCGAAGGGAATAAAAACAAAGGCCAGCTAAAAGAATGAAAAGCGGAGCTTCAGCAACGTCGTGGAAGAAAACAGCCAAGCGGGATGTGTTACCGCCAGCCGAGCAGGTGCCCGCTCCGTTGCGTGGCCGTTTCGGAGTCTCTGTCACCGATTCCTTGGTGGGCTGGAGTGGGAATTGGCTTCAATCCAGGCCATTGAGACAGTCATTTCATCGCCAAACCAGCTGTGAGGCACCCAGATCTTTTAAATCACCCGTCTCAGACAAGAGCATGTCAAGGGCGGCCAGATGTGAGGCTGTCAGCCTCTGAAATGCTTGGTTTTTAGGAGTCTGTGTCACTCAGTGCAACTTCTCTTCTCTTCTCTCAATGCAACCAAGTCATTCTAATCCTTGATCTTCTCTTCTTTCATTCTTTCATTTCATTCTTTTCCTTTCCTCTTTTCTCTCCATTCCTCTCCTCTCATTCTTTCATTCTCCTTTCATTCTTTTTCTCTCCTCTCTTCTTCTCTCCATTCCTCTCCTCCCTCCCCCTTTCTCCCTTCTCCCCTTTTTTTCTCTCTCTCTCACACACACACACACACAGAGTTCAGGTAAAATTGGGGCGGGTGGGTAGAGCAAAAGAGATCACCGTGATTTTGGGTGTGGCTTACCTCTGGGCCATCACTTCCTAAGAATCCTTGCAAGGACTAAGCCAAGAATTCTGGACTTTAAGGAGCGCTCAGTGTGAGAGATTTCCTTATTTACTTTGCGTCTTACGCCCAGCAGCCAAGGCAGGCAGCGGATTAAAAAAAGAAAAAGAGAGGGACGATTAGGCAAAGAGGGAGGCCACAGCCCCACTTGGACTAAGTGAGCGTTAATGGGGAAAAAAATCCTAAGTTTTCTTCCCTTGCAAACGGGCCCGTGAAGGAAGCTGCAGACTGGACATCCTGGCCCAGTTGGGCATAGAAAAGGCCAAAGGATGGGTGGATCCTTGGCATTTCCAGGTTCAAAGAGATCAAAGACCTTGGGAAATGCTCTCCCCTGCCTGCCTGCCTGCCTGCCTGTCATCCTGGAAAACTCCATCCAGGTTTGGTGGCTGATATGGTCCAGATTTTCTCGGCTGGCGTGCAGGGATAAGGTGCGTTTTTATAAGCCTGGGCCAACCTTTGCAGAAATAGGACTTGTTGGTAAACTGGGGTGAAATGTCCCTTAGCCAGCCAATGATGAGGAAATGCAGGTCCTCCCCCTCAGCCATGTTTTTGGATGCGGTTTATTGTGGGGGGGGGAAATGGGGGGGTTTGGATACATCTCCTGATACCGCCTGGTGCTAACCATCTCTGCCCTGTGTGTGCTTCTCATTAGGAATGGATTAACCACTGACAAACCAGCTGTCACCGAAGATGTAAATATTTACCAGAAATATATTGCCAGGTAGGCCGATGCCCCTTGGGGTGTGGGGAGAGGGTGGAGGGGGCTGCAACTGCCCGTCTTGGGTGCGGTGTAAGCCGCCGCTCAGGGTCCCTTCTCTCTGACGTCCACACTGGCTCCCCCACTGCTATGACTGCCATCTTTCCTGCTCAGTCCCTCTCCATCAATCAGAGTAGAGCGGGAAGGGGTCTTGGAGGTCTTCTAGTCCAACCCCCTGCTCAGGCAGGAGACCCTAGACCATCTCAATCAATCAATCAATCAATCAGAGTAGAGCTGGAAGGGACCTTGGAGGTCTTCTAGTCCAACCCCCTGCTCAAGCAGGAGACCCTACTTAGACCATTTCACTCAGTCACTTACTCGGGGGTCTTACTTGGGGGTCTTCTAGACCAGGGACAGGCGACCCAAAATACTCAAACAGCCACTTGGACCCGTTTCCCACCGAAAACAAAACACTGGGAGCCACAAAACCCTTTTGATATCTGAAATGAAGATAACACTGCATATATCCTTTTTTACCTTTATTATAGGTGTGTGTATATGTCTATGTATGTGTGTGTGTATATGTATATATTTATATATATATATGTATATGTACGTATGTGTATGTATGTATGTATGTATATGTATGTATGTGTATATATATATGTGTGTGTGTGTATGTATATGTATGTGTATGTATATGTGTATGTGTGTATATATATATATATACACACACACACACACACACACATACATACATATATATATATATATATATATATATATATATGTTTTTATTAAAATAATGATCACCAAGAGAAATTTAATTTAAATTTCTCTTGGTGATCATTATTTTAATAAAAATGGAAATTCCCAAGAGTCAAATTTTTACTTGTATTTTTAATATATATATGTATATATAATAAAGATAAAAAAGGATATATGCAGAATTATCTTCATTTTAGATGTCAAAAGGGTCTGTCTCTCTCTCTGTCTCTTTCCCTCCCTCTCTCCCTCTCTCTTTCTGCTCTTAGTCTGCCAGTCCTCTTCCTCCACTCTTTCTCTCTCTTTCTCTCTTTCCTCTCTTTCTCTCCCTCTCCCTCCCTCTCTCCCATCTTCTGCTCAGCTGGCTTCAAGCTGTTCCCCAGCCAGCTCAGGGGAGGCCCCCTGGGCTCTTTTATGACTCGTGGACTTCAACTCCCAGAATTCCTGAGCCAGCATGGCTGGGCTAGCTGGCTCCTCCCCTTCCTGCTTCCTGCAGGGACGCAGCCAAGGGAGGAGCCACGCCCAGGAAGCTGCTCACACCTGGTGGGAGAAGGCCGTGAGTCCGCTCTCTTTTTTGCTTGCTTACTTACACATACACACACACAACGCACAACACACACAAGCGCAAGTGCCTCTTCTCTGTGTCTCTGTCTCTCTCTGCAAATGGCGGAGGAGGCTGGGAGCCGCAGGGGAAGGCTCAAAGAGCCACATGGCGGCTCCGGAGCCACAGGGGGCCAAGCAGGAGAGCTGGCCTAGCCCCGTTCAGCCAGGGGCCTGTCCAGTCTTTCCTCAAAGCTCCCATTGGCTGAGAGGAAGGGCCGTGGCACGGAAGGCCCTCCCCCTGCCTGATACTCGTCTAAGAAGCTTCTCATCAGAAGAAACTTTTTATTTAGTGGTATTAATACCACTCTTCAATGCCTTGGTAAGGCCACACCTGAAATACAGCATCCAGTTTTGGTCACCACGATGTAAAAAAGATGCTGAGACTCTAGAAAGAGTACAGAGAAGAGCAACAAAGAGGATTAGGGGACTGGAGGCTAAAACATATAAGGAACGGTTGCTGGAATTGGGTAGGTCTAGTTTAATGAAGAGAAGGACGAGGTGGGGACAGGATAGCAGTCTTCCAATATCTCAGGGGCTGCCCCAAAGAAGAGGGAGTCAAGCTATTCTCCAAAGCTTCTGAAGGCAGGACAAGAAGCAACGGATGGAAACTCACCAAGGAGAGAAGCAACCTGGAACTAAGGAGAAACTTCCTGACAGTCAGAACAATTAACCAGTGGAACTCCTTGCCTCCAGAAGCAGTAAATGCTCCAACACTGGAAGTTTTTAAGAAGAGACTGGACAGCCATTTGTCCGAAATGGTATAGAGTTTCCTGCCCGAGCAGGGGGTTGGACTAGATGACCTCCAAGGTCCCTTCCAACTTTACTACTATTGTTACTATTATTAACTTTGCCATTCATCTTCCTAAATTCCATTCTAGATGGAAGTCACCTGGTGGTGCCCCTTGCAACAAGTTTCTCTCCTCCCAGCCACGTTTTACAGCAGGCAAAGGGCCTGAGCTGAGTTTGCCACCCCCCAAATTAGTCAGATCAGGGTGCATCCCTTTATTTCAGTCAGGGACTTAGATTTTATGTGTGTGTGTGTGTGTGTGTGTGTGTGTATGTATGTATTATATAATATATACATACATACATACATGTATGTATGTATATGTATGTATATATTATATAATATATATGTGTTTGTATGTATTATAAATAAATAAATAAGGGAACCTGCCTTATTGCAACTGAGAGAATTTTTCTTCTCCAATTCTGCTGGTCACTACCCAAAATTTGCCCCTTTCGTGACTAGCTCTCCATAGGAATGTTACCCTGAGCCTCACTGTTACCCTGAGCATTCACTGAGACACTGTAGCATTCATTGGGATTTTGGGCCACCGGTTTAGGAAATACAATAATAATAATAATTAATAATAATAAAGTTGGAAGGGACCTTGGAGGTCATCTGGTCCAACCCCCTGCTCAGGCAGGAAACCCTATACCATTTTGGACAAATGGCTGTCCAGTCTCTTCTTAAAAACTTCCAGGGTTGGAGCATTCACCGCTTCTGGAGGCAGGTTGTTCCACTGGTTAATTGTTCTCACGGTCAGGAAGTTTCTCCTTAGTTCTAGGTTGCTTCTCTCCTTGATTAGTTTCCATTCGTTGCTTCTTGTCCTGCCTTCAGGAGCTTTGGAGAATAGCTTGATTCCCTCTTCTTTGGGGCAGCCCCTGAGATTTTGGAACGCTGCTATCATGTCCCCCCTCGTCCTTCTCTTCCTTAAACTAGACAGACCCAATTCCAGCATCTTTTCATCTCAATAATTTAAAGCCAAAATCAGAATGGCATCGTTCTTAGAAAAAAAAGCATCTGCTTTCCATACATGGCATGGTGTGTTTTGCGACTCAAAATGAA